GAAGCTGCTTGGACAAGCAGCGAAACGTATCAAACCAAAAGAAAAGTCCAGTTGCCATGACCCAACCGCCAGAAAATTCCACCTGGATGACTGAGAATCTTCATCAACGTACATTACGTAGATAAGTTTCTGAGGTACTAGTAGGCGAGGGTACGTTCCTTAAGACACGTTTAGTTTTTGAGTTCGCGAGAAGCGCTGAACCACGAACTGCGGTCACACGGACTAAGTACTCAGGATGGACTAGACTAAATTGTAGTTGGCTAATTTGTAATTTAATGCATCATGAGAACGCAGTCAGTCTCACGGTTTCTCGCGTTTCGGAGCTTTTGCCACTCACAAAATGGCTGCTGTAACCATTCTCCACCCTTTTCCCTTCCCGGGTTGGTCAGTGCGTCTACAGACACCGCCCTCCCCTGGTGTCGCGCACTGATGAACGCATCAATCCTCATTGCCACGTCTCTTCAGGGCAGCAGCGTTTACAGCAGCCTCCGCGGAGACAGAAGGGAGAGGGCGACGCGAAGTGAATTAGAAGGGCTGCGCTGCACCCCCTCCCCAGCCTGGCGGGCACCCCAGCCTGGCGGGCTGGCGGTGGAAGCACCCGCTCATGGTGCTGTTGGAGAGGCGGTGAGTCGGATTGAATGGCCGCCTCCTTCTCATCTATCTCCATGGTCTGTTGTGTATAACCGGGACACCCCAGTGTAGTCAAGCACGGTCCTGTGGCTTGGAGTAGTGGAGGCCGCTGTCGCGCTTTGCTTCTGTCTTTGTTGCTCGGCTAAGAGAGAATTGTGCTTTTTCCTGTTGCCCCTTTCTTCCGTCGCGTTGGGTTAGTTAACAGTTGCTGTATTCCGTTATTGGCCTTCCCACTTTCTTCTTCAGGGCTTTTCCATTCCACAAACATTTTAGGATCTTCCTTGCTATTTTTCTCCTCTTGTTTTTCGTTTGCTCTCGTTCAAACAACTTTTTTTTATTGAGAAGAATGAAATACTCCTATAGGAAGTAGACCGTCTTACCTAGAAACATCTAGCCGAGCTTACCTGATCTCAGACAGCTAAGGTCGAACCTGATCAGTACTTGGATGGACGACCTCCTGGGAAGTCTAGGGCTGCGGGCTAAATTAGGACATTGGAAAAAACATCCTGGAAGAAGACAATGGCAAACCACTTCTGTGATGTTATCAGGGTCTTAAAGGTACCAGGATTTGAGTTCCATTTGAAGGATATTTTACTTCTGTTTATTGCTGATAATGAAGAACATTGCTGTTACTGTATATCATTCTTCTGTTGGAGTCTGCTTAAACTTCTTAGAAATCCAGACTTGCAAGATATGGTTCCATAGGGTAGTGTGGCATATACATTTAATTGTTTCTTCAAAAGTTGTGTAGCTTACTATAAGTTGCATTTCAGTACACATTTGGGCAGAAGACATCTCCTTGAGATCATGAGGTTTATTTTTGAATACGCTGCACACTAAATGGAATTACCACTTTCCACTTGGGGATTTTTTATTTATTGGACATTTATATCCCACCTTTCTTTGTATCATGCAAGGTGGTATTACCACGTGTTTCCCAAAACAGCCTTGTTAGGTGGGTTGGACTGAGACAGTCATCCAGCTGGTTTCTATTCCTATGGGAGGACTAAAAGTCATAGTCTCCTGATTTTTAGCTCAGCACATTTTTCAAATGTGACAGAAAGATGGATTGTACATGCACAAAGGTGTCAATCCTTGGCAGACAAAACCTAAAAAGGAGGTTCAGACTTTTAATCAAACTAATGTGCATCCAACCAGTACAAATCCTGAATCTGATACTGTTGACCAGTGTTAGTATATGTAGTATATCACAAATGTATACAGATTGACCACTATTTTTAATGTGGAAAGAGAATTTAAGAAATCAGTTTAATAAGTAATAATAAATGTGAGAGTAATTATTTGTATTTATTTGAATGGTCTTTGTTTTTATCAATTCTACCCAAGTTTTGAAGAATTTGGGATTTTTAACAACAGAACTTGCATGCACTTAGAATATACCTCTGAATTAATCTTGAAATGTATGCACCTAGCTTTGAAGGAAGAACAAATAATACATTAACAAAACAGTTATTTTTATTTTCAGAAGCAAATTCTGATTGTGTGTTTGTTTCCTTTTTAAAAACAAATGTACAGTCTTAGTACTGTTGGCTTAACATAGTTGCTTTCATCATGACTGAAAATACCACTTGAATGTGTATCTTATTTAAAAGGGTAGAACTGGCAAGCAGTTGGAGATAGTATATTGATGCAGTATTATGTAGTTTTGTGTAAACCATTCATCACTTACATGATGGAAGCCATGTTGAAAGCATTTTTGCTAATAAGTTTCATCTCTGAGAACATAGGAGAAGGAATGAGCCATTGAACCTGTCAGGGAAAAATTACAGAATGCAGGATGCAGAATATTACAATATCTTTAAAGTTGAGAGTGCAGTGAATGTGAACACTGCATATCTGACCGTGAATCCTGGATTTCAGGAAAGCCAATTTCAAAGATTTTTCAAAGAGAAAAACTAGATTCAATTCTGTGTTAGAAATTCTGAAGGAGAATAGGATTTAAGAGGAAGTGAAGATTTAGAAAAGTAAAATGTGAAGGTGCAACTCGAGACTAAGAATAAAAAAATGTAAGATATATAAATTTGTCAGTCTTCTGAAAGACTGAGATTAAAAAGAATAGGTGTTTCCTTATAGAACACATACATGAACTCTGGACTTTTATTCTGAAAAATACTAAAATATATTGATTGTTTTCTAAATGAAGATTTTATTGGAATTAAATCATTTTAATTACCTTTATGAAAACTGATAATATGTATATATACATGTATATGCTATTCCTTTTTTAGGGTAAGCAACATTACAGTGGGGCAAAAAAGTATTTAGTCAGCCACCAATTGTGCAAGTTCTCCCACTTAAAAAGATGAGAGAGGCCTGTAATTTTCATCATAGGTATACCATACATGTATATGCTATTCCTTTTTTAGGGTAAGCAACATTACAGTGGGGCAAAAAAGTATTTAGTCAGCCACCAATTGTGCAAGTTCTCCCACTTAAAAAGATGAGAGAGGCCTGTAATTTTCATCATAGGTATACCATACATGTATATGCTATTCCTTTTTTAGGGTAAGCAACATTACAGTGGGGCAAAAAAGTATTTAGTCAGCCACCAATTGTGCAAGTTCTCCCACTTAAAAAGATGAGAGAGGCCTGTAATTTTCATCATAGGTATACCATACATGTATATGCTATTCCTTTTTTAGGGTAAGCAACATTACAGTGGGGCAAAAAAGTATTTAGTCAGCCACCAATTGTGCAAGTTCTCCCACTTAAAAAGATGAGAGAGGCCTGTAATTTTCATCATAGGTATACCATACATGTATATGCTATTCCTTTTTTAGGGTAAGCAACATTACAGTGGGGCAAAAAAGTATTTAGTCAGCCACCAATTGTGCAAGTTCTCCCACTTAAAAAGATGAGAGAGGCCTGTAATTTTCATCATAGGTATACCATACATGTATATGCTATTCCTTTTTTAGGGTAAGCAACATTACAGTGGGGCAAAAAAGTATTTAGTCAGCCACCAATTGTGCAAGTTCTCCCACTTAAAAAGATGAGAGAGGCCTGTAATTTTCATCATAGGTATACCTCATAGTTGAGGTATACCTATGATGAAAATTACAGGCCTCTCTCATCTTTTTAAGTGGGAGAACATGCACAATTGGTGGCTGACTAAATACTTTTTTGCCCCACTGTATGCACAGCACAGAAAAAAGAGTAAGAAATACTGTTCAAAAGAAATTAAAGGCAGGATATTAGAGAAAAGGAAAAGAAGTCTAAGAAACCTAGTTTACACTAGCACCATTCACTATACCTTTCCATACCTTCTATTCTTGCAACCTATTCTTGCTTACATCATGTCCTTACACAGATTAACACCTTTTGTTCTTTAAATTCCTTAATTCCTTTTGAGGATCTCATCACTTTCATTCAACCATGACTTTTTTTGATGCTCATTTTTGTGTTATTCCATTCTGACTTCATATTTTCAGTAACTCATGCCTTAATCACTTGATTGGACTACTGCAATTTGCTTTATGTGGGGTTGCTTTAGAGATGACATGGAAGGTGCATCTGATACAAAATGCAGTGGCAAGAATATTGGCCCTGTCAATATAGAATTACAGCTATATTAAAGTTGCTGCATTGGTTGCTGATAGGCTTCTGGGCTCAGTTCAGAGTACTGGCCATTACCTCTAAAGCTGTAAATGGCATAGCACCAGGATATGTGAGGCACCTTGCCAGAACTGAATCTTCCTGTCCCATCTGGTCATCAAGAGAGGGCCTGCTAAAAGTTCCCTCCCCTCATGAGGCCTGCAGGTTGTGGCTGACACAGCAGGCCTTTATAATAGCTCCCACCTTATGGAATGTTGTCCCCAAGAAATATGTGCAACCCCCTCCTTGCTGCAATTCTGGAAACATGTTAAAACTTTTATTTCAGTGCACTTTTGGTTCCAGCTGACTGGTTGTGAGCACCTATCTTAGGTTTGGTTTGGGGTTTGCTTTTTGTGATTATTTTTTGGTTTTGATTGACATTGTTTTGATTGCATTATGTTTGGTTTTCTTTTTGATGATATTGTAAACAGCCCAGACTCCCTTAGGCGGGTTATAAATACTGTAAAATAAATACATTCATAAATATTTTGCTGCACAGTCCTCATTCATTTCTTCCGCATGACCAATTACTCAATGCACTTTTTTTTGTACTGGTCACTCAGTGTACAATCATTCACTACTGGATATGGAGTGGCTATATTAAATTAATTAATAATAATAAGCCTTCTCATTTTATACACTCACTTCTTAAGTAACCCATCCTATTTTATTCAACTTTTATGTTTCTCTTGATATATTCTCTCATTTCCATAAAACAAAGTGAATAGAAGCACATTCTTATTTATAGCCATTTTTACTTCTGTTGAGAAACATTCATTGCTTGGAAAAGAGCATTCTACCATTATGTCTTAAACTTCCTCATTTTTCTATCTGCCATGGTACCCAATTTCATCTACTTGTTCTAATTTGCTATTTATGTTTAGCTTGCAGTTGTTATTTTTGTTTACCTTGCAGTTCACTAATGTACATATCATAGTATCCATGTTGTACAAACTTTGTTTTACTGTGAAAGTAGGATCAACTCTCTGCCATTGCTAGTAAGCTCTGTGGGTACAAATCTTAACATTCAGTGTGCATCAGATATTTCCAAACTTTGTTTCAATGGTAATATGATAAAGGCTTACTTTCAACTCTAAATCTCAAGTTTAAACTTTTTGTAAAATATCTCTTATAATACAGAATTATTTCTATTGTCTTAAACAATGTGATATCAGAATTATACTGATCTCAATCACATTGCAACCTGTAATAGTTTAAACTTTTGATACAAATGATAAATTTTATAAACTGCAACCACTGCCCAAAAAGATTTTTTTGCCTCTGGTTTTGTTGTATGTAACAGTCAAATTCTGATATATTCTGTTTGTAACAAATTAATATCAAAGCACTGATACTTAAACTTTAAAAAACTTACGCAACATATTTTTTAAATTGTTACTTGATGATCTCTTCTAAAAGTATATTTATTTTATTTTTATTTATTACATTTGTCTGTGCAAGATAATATATGATACAATATTAAAATGCATAGATTCTGATTACCACTGCTAATCTCTGCTGCTAAATGAAATGCATTTTTATTGAATCATCTTAATTTCAGAAGTTCTTGAACAGAACAGAACAGAAGAGAAGGTTCTGTGGCATAATTTGTTAAATAATTTCAGATGCTTCCTTTTCATTTGCAGAATTGGGAAATCTTTCACATTGTTACATAAGTATCAGGGCAAAAGCTGCCAGAGGTGGAAGAGGTGGATTGCTTCCTGGTCATGCCCGGTGGAAGGAGGGGACCCAGCCGGCAGCAACTAAGCCGTTCAGCCTTGCCTTCTCTTCAGACATTGGTTGGTGGGAACTGCGGCAACGGCACTGGTCTGAGAAATAGGTAAAGTCTGACATTAAATCTGGGTAGCCGAATTGTTGAATTTATTGCCTGTTATCATTGGGTGTTGTTATGTTCAAAAGAGTACCAGCCATTGATAATTGGTTCGTACTCTTGATTTTAAGGAGGGCTTTTGCTCTGTGTTCAGCATATGTTAGGGTACCTTATTCATCTCAATATGACCAGAGCAGGATAGCCTTGATGGCTGGGGACTAACTTCATGTTTTTGAGGGGACTGAGGGGTCCAATGGACGGGCAGTATGGCAAGAGTTTTGTTTTTCACATTTTTTTCTGTTTTTTGGGGGAAGAAATTTTATATAATTTTCATAGGTATTTTATTAATCAGTCTTTTAAAACATTTGAACTTTTGGAAAAATAATTAGGCCTGCCTACAACTGCTAAATGGCTATATATTCAGCTAAAGCATCTTCTGACTTGACAATTTGGGCCTGATGCAATAGTAGCATCTGAAACCTAAACTATTAATATTATTGGAAAAAACGGAGTTCCTAAATCTTCAGTTAATGCTTTGTACATTGGAAAAGATAATCAGATGATGTGGTATATAGTCCATAAAAGCTTATGCCATGATGTTGTTAATCTTTACAGGGCCATATGACTCTTTGCTGATTACATTAACCTATGTTACTGGGTTGTTCTAAAAAAATCTACTGAAATCTAGGGATCTACTGTAATTAAATTAATAATAATAATGGACAATTTAACATCTAAATGCTAAATACTATTCAGCCACTGTCAACAGTTATTTTTGGTTTCAGGAATGGTAGTGCTCTCAGCCTCTCTGCTCCTCCTATTACTGCCCTGATTACTCCTGAGCCTGTGAGACACTGCCGAATCCCAGAGCTCCCTGTGGATGGAAACCTTCTGTTTGAGTTCCTCTTTTTCATCTACTTGTTGGTGTCTCTCTTCATTCAATATATTAATATTTACAAGACCGTCTGGTGGTATCCATATAACCACCCTGCCTCCTGTACATCACTGGTGAGTTCATCCCTGCTTACACATCCCAGGATTAATGTGTCCCTGTGGTGAGTGAGTGAGTGTGTGTGTGTGTGTATGTATATGTATATATGTAAAATCATCAGGCACTAATAAATATTTTCAATAATTGTATGGCAGGAAAAAAGGAATCTAAATCTAAAAAAAAGAACCAAGAAAGAGGTGCAGGGACCTTGAATCTCAGCTTTTGGAGACAGCATTTATGGGTTGTTGGGTTTTTTTCCCCTGTCTCAGTTTCAAACTTTTTCTTGGGACAGACAACCTTTTTCTTTCATTCCAGTCTGGGGAAGTTGCAGTGAGTATGACATTTAATGTTATGATGTCAACAGAAGAATAAAAGTTACAGTCTGCAGGCTGTTTATCCCTGATCTTTGTGGGACTTAACGGGAAGAATTTGATTCATTCTGATCTGAAAAACATCTCCCCACCAAAATAGGAAAAAAATGTCTTGATAGTTTCAGGATTTTGGATTTTCCCCCCTCAAATTTGCAGGGGGTAGAAAATTGGGTAAGAGAGTTAATACCCTGAAAGATAGAAATAAAATTCAAAATGATTTTGTTAGGATAGAGAAATTGGTTAAAATAATAGGGTGAAATTAAAGAGAATGAAATGCAAAGTTCCTCACTTAGGAAACACAAATCAAATGTACAGCTGAGGGATATCTGGAGAATAAGGATATGTGTGACTTGGTAATAGTACTTATGAAAAATATCTGGAATAATACTTGATTGCATATTAAATGTGAGTCAGCATGTGATATAGTTGACAGAAGGCAAATGCAATTTTAGGTTGCATCAACAGAGAATAGTGTCAAGCCTTTGACAGCAGATATGACCAGGGAAGCAAGATTCACATAGAGTTCCATTAATCAGGTGTAATGTCAATAAATAGTGTGTTGGGATAGAGAAACTTAGAAACTGAAGAAGCAAAGCTCCCACCCTCACTTATGAGTGAATTCATTATGGTGGTATCTGTGAGTTGTTTGAATCTTTTTCCCAGAAAGCGAAACTGAAGGGCTTAGCTGCCTTTTTCTCAGGTAAGCCTAGCACTGAAACATCCACCTGCTCTTTGTTAGTGATGTTTGTAATCATCCTTTTTCTTTCTCAGCCTGAGTCCCCTTAAGCATAGTTTCTATATCACAGTATGCATTGGTTCCCCTTTATCTGATTCAGCCAGGCCCCATATCAAGAACCATGTACAGTTTTGAGCACCACACTTTAAAGAAGGATTCAGGTAGCAGGGTTCAGAGCAAAAAGACTGAAAGCTAAGTCCTGTGAAGAGAGATTAAAGCAGTTGGGCATGTCTAATCTTGAGAAGAAGAGGCGGTGGGTGGGGGAAAGGCATGATAGTCCTCTTTCAGTCACACAGAAGTTATTCAAAATCTGTTCTGTCCCTTTTTAGAATGTAAGACACAGAATAATGGATTTTAGAATAATATTTTTCTTTTGTAATGTAACTGCTCTTAACAATAAGAGCAGCTTCACCATGAAACCTGTTATCCTAAATGTTGGTGGACTTTCCTTTACCGGCTGTATTCAGACAGAGGCTGTACAACAATCTGTTTGGATTCCTGCATTGAGGAGAGTTTGGGGGAGATGGCCTAAATGGCTTCTATTAGATAATGGGATCGGTAAGAGAAACTGCCAATATTGTTCTCTAGTAGTGAATGAATGGGCCCAGTAGAAGACTCATACTATCTTTACCCAATAAGAAATGTTTATGTAGTTCAGATATTTCCCCAACCACTTCTGTAATAGTCAGAAAGAGTATTCATTTGAAATGTAATCAAGTGGATTAAAGCAGACATTTACTGCTGCCTCATAAAGACCCAATCAATGCAAAATCTTCAACTCTTACCAGCCTATATAAAATTTGAGTGTAGCCAAAAAAAAAAAAAAAAGGTCTTATTTCCTCTGGGGAAGGAGAAATGCTAATATTTTGCCTGTAACTATTGTAAGGAAAGAGTTGGTGTTCTGACAGATACTCATCTTGCTCTTCTCACTAAGACATTGCAGATCCCACAATCATAGCCATTATTTATTTATGTGTTTATTATTTTGGATGCTTTTATGTTGCTTTCAGTGGTATGACTCGAAGCAGTATATAGCTATAGCCACAACCAGCATACCAGCCGGAGCTGAACAAAGGATCTTCTGGCCATGGTCTCCATCCACCCCTCCAGCAGTAGTCATGACTCTAGCAGTACCCACAACTCACAGACCTGCTCTTTCAGGGACAAGTATTGTCTTCTTGAAAAACATCATTGAAAATATCATTGGAACTGATGGAGAGCTGCAATGGACAAATAGCCGTTCTATCTTACCAGAGCTCAACATTAGCCATTGTATTCAGATTAACAGTCTCCAGGCATTATCCAGAGCACTTCCAACCAGGCATGGGGTGGCCATGCATAAATGAGTCTCCAGATGATCTCTCCTAATGGTTTCAGAAAGGAAACAGGTGACATCCAATGTGGGAGTGATCGCAAAGCCAACCTCTACTCTACCCCCTTTATCAAGAGGAACTGCCTACTGTGGAACGAGCAGAACTATTGTAAAACAGTAGTTCCAATTCCTGTCTAAAAAATACTGAAGTATCAAGGGCTGCTAAGAGGTCCAAAAGATCAGAAAGGATGCACTACTGCATCCAGGCCCTGACAAAGGTTATCAACTAGAGCAGTGCTTCCCAAACGTTTTCCTTCAACCTGGGTGTGTGCAAGCAAGCAAGCAAAAGGGGGAAGGAGGGTGCTGATGGGTGTGTGGAGCAAGTGAAGGTGGGCAGGAGGACGCAGTGCGAGCAAAGGAGGGCAGGAGGGCACAGTGCATGCATGCGAGTGAGGGAGCAAGGGGGGGGGAAGGTGTGTGTGGTGTGTGCGAGCGAGTGAAGAAAGGCCAGAGTGGGTAGGGGAGACTTACCTGAGCAACTTGCAACCTCCCCTGCTGGCTTCCCCACTGATTTTGCTTGTGGGAAGCTGGCAGGGAAAGTTTCAAAAGGTGATCATGGGACACTGCAACCAGTCATAAGTGTGAGCTGGTTGCCAAGCACCCGAATTTTGTTCATGTGACTGCAGGGGTGCTGCAACTGCCAGAACTTTGAGGACTGGTTGTAAGTCCCTTCCTTCAGCACCATCATATTTTCAAACAGTTGCTGAACGCACGGTCATAACTCGAGGACTACCTGTATTATAAAAAAATAATTGAATGGTCTTTATGTCATTTCAACAAATTACCATTGGTAGTTTCATTGATTTTTGTCTGAATAGGAATACTTTGAGAGATTTTCAAATATATTTTAGTACACATGGCAATCTTTAAGTCAGTTTAAATCTCCTGTTATGATTGGATAAGGGTTTGTGTTTTGTTACCAAAAGAAAAAACACTTTTATCCAATTTTGGGTAATTTACCCAGGTTTGGGAAGCACTGACCTAGAGCAATCAGTGCTGTCTCAGACCCATGCCCAGGTCTAAAACAAGATTGAACAAGATTCCAGATAATCTTCCTCTAAGGCTCTGTGTAGGTGAATCAACAGCCTTCCCTGAAAAGGGAGGGTTGGAGATCAAGTGATACTTATCAAACACATTGGGATCTAGAAAGGGCCTTTTGAGGAGAAGGATCACCACAGACCCTTTAGGCCTGCAGACATAACCTCCTCTTGAAGCAAATCATTGATACCATTATCAACTTGTTGCACCTACACCTGTAAGAGGGTCATGCCTGTAAGCACTGCTGCAGGATCCAAGGCCATGTCTCTGAAAGGGTAATATTATTGTCAGCTTTTGGTAATACACACCAGGTCAATTTGTTCATAATTATGTCATGAATTAACATGGTCTTACTACAAATCCTCATTTAGCCCGCTGTTCATATACAAAACCCAATACAATACAATACAATACAGTTGGCTCCACACATACTCTGAGAGCTCCTCCCAGTTCAAGGTTGGAGACCCCTATCCAAACTCTCACTACAGGACAGCCTTCAGAAAACCTACCTAACTTTTATTTCTCACATGGGAGAGAGATCTTCAATCCATTTCAGTTCTTCCTGCAGGCCACCAGTTATGGTTGGAAAGCACACCAACAGAGTCTGACATTTCTGGACCAACAATCATGTGTCCAAAATAGCTATCTGTTGCAGCTGAGCATCCTGTAGAGTCCCTGTAGAGAGTAAAGAGGAGATAAGCGAGATCCATTGCCAAAGCAATGAGGATCTACATATAGCTTAAGTTCAAAGAATGAAGATTTGTGAAAGCATTTCAGACAAACACTGCCCTAATTCACATGATTATAAAGGAAGGAAGAGCACAATCAGACTTGCAAGATTATGATACTATAGCCAATCTAAATAAAAGTAGTTTTCAGTCTTCCGTGGAATCTGTTTTTCAGTCTGGTCTGCTTCATAGGGCTGACCGTCTCCACCCCAAAGCTGCTAGTCACAGGCCAGGTCTTGTCTCTCCACAGAGTCTTCTCCCCTCACAGCTGACCAGCAACCCTCAAAGTGAGGTTTTAAGACTAAGTCTGAACCCATCAAAGCTTTCCTGTCTCTGCCACCCATCTTCCAGGGAGCTAGCTGGAACTCTGTTAAGTAGCTGTCTCCCTCACTAAGGCTGCCCTTTTGCTGCTTCTGACAGTGGGTTCTGCCTGCCTGTCACTTTAGCTGTTCAGTGATCTGAAGAAAGTGATTTCTTTAGAAAGCAAATTAAGTAATTTGGTTTTGTTATATTATGAATATGCATAATGATAAGCATGGTATATTTTTGATGCAATAACTACTGCTTAAATTTGCCTTGACTTGATATGTAAACAGTTTAGCAATGTTGCATGAAAAGGCCTGACCATCCTGCTGCCGTTCACCCAGTGCCATTGCAACTGTGAATGAAGCTCATTAAAGAGACCTGTCTGTTAGGCATGGGGAAGAGAACATTCTTCTTTCTTCCTAATGCATATCAGTTTCTCCCTACTGCCTTTCTTCAGTGGGCAAAA